GGAACCCACACCCCCTCCCTGACCCTACATCCCAATCCCTGACCCAGGTCACAACCCCCTCGTCCACGCAAACACCTTCTCGGACCCCACGCCCCTCCTGCACCCCAGTCCCTTATCTGGTGCGCCCTTCTGCACCCACCCTAGACCTGGCACCCCCTCCATGGAAAAGTGCGGCCCTTGACCACTTTCCAAAACCTTGGAGTAGCCCCCCCACCAAGAATTATTGCCACCTGTGGTCTAGCTCGTTCAGGAAGAACAGCCAGGCAGGGCGCAGATGTTGTGTGGTACGCTGCAAATACGTATACTTGTTCTGAGGCCCAGAAGGAAGTGCAAAACCGACCAAGCCAGTCTCTTGGTAAAGATAATAGGGGTGAAGTCATGGTAGGGGCTCTACTACAGACCACCAAGTCAGAAAAAAGGGTGAATGAGGCCGTTGTAGAATGAATAACAGAAATCTCGAGAAGAGGACCTGGGAGGAATGGGGGATTTAGCTCCCCGCACACCCATTGGAGAGTAATATGGCAGAACACGACATGTCGGTCAGTTCCGGAAAGGTGTCTGGGTTGCGCAGTGGGGAGGGTGAAGCAGCAGGACAGCCAGTTCAGACTTGCCTCTGACCAGCGGCCTGCGGCGGAGAGCAGGGCGGGGTGGGCGAGGTGATGAGATGGTGGGTTCTGTGGTTTGGAGGCAGGGAAGCAGAGCAGGGAAAAGCAGGTTTTAACTGGCAGCGAGAGCTGGTAGCTGTGGTCCTGTGCGGGGCAGGGGAGGACCAAAGTACTTCAGGAGGCCAGGCAGTTCCTCAAGATGTTGTTAAAGGCCCAGCTTCGCTCTCCCCTGACGTGAAGGGAAACTAGGAGAACTAGTAACCGGCCAGCGTGGAAGCTCGTCAGGGCCCTGGAAATCCAGTGGAGTTCTGCAAGTGCAGCCGTGGGCAGATTGGTGGTAGCCACGGTAACCCCAGGTCCTTTTCTGCAGAACAGGTACTTAGCCAGTGGGTCCCCAGCCTGTACCAATGCCTGGGATTCTTCTCTCCCACGGGCAGGACTCTGCACTTGTCCCTGTTGAACCTCGTCAGATTTCTTTTGGCCCAACCCTCCAATTTGTCCAGGTCACTCTGGACCCTGCCCCTGCCCTCCAGCGTATCCACCTCTCCCCCCAGCTCAGTGTCATCCGCAAACTTGCTGAGGGTGCAATCCATCCCCTCAGCCAGGTCATTCATAAAGCTGTTGAACAAAACTGGCCCTAGAACAGATCCTTGGCACTCCACTAGAAACCGACCGCCAGCCTGACATCGAGCCATTGATCATTACCCGCTGGGCCTGACAGTCTAGCCAGCTTTCTATCCATTTTGCCATCCATTTATCCAATCCGTACTCCCTTGGCTTGCTGGCAAGAATATTGTGGGAGACGGAATCAAAAGCCTTGCTTAAGTCAAGGTCAATCACATCCATGGACTTTCCCACGTCCACAGAGCCAGTTACCTCATCATAGAAGCTAATCAGGTTGGTCAGGCACGACTTGCCCTTGGAGAATCCATTTTGACTATTCCTGATCACTCTCCTCTCTTCCAAGTGCTTCAAAATGGATTCCTTGAGGATCCCTTCCATGATTTTTCTGGGGAGTGAAGTAAGGGTGACTGGACTGTAGTTCCTTGGATCATCCTTCTTTCCTTTTTTTAAAGATGGGCCCTACATTTGCCTTTTTCCAATCATCCGGGATCTCTCCCGATATCCACGAGCTTTCAAAGATAATGGCCAAAGGTTCTGCAATGACATTTGCCAACTCCCTCAGAACCCTCGGTTGATTTAAATCTGGACCAATGGATTTGTGTATGTTTAGCTTTTCCAAATAGTTCCTAACTTGTTCTTTCCCCACCAAGGGTATGTCTACACTACCCCGCTAGTTCGAACTAGGGTGGTAATGTAGGCATACCGCACTTGCAAATGAAGCCCGGGATTTGAATTTCCCAGGCTTCATTTGCATAAGCCGGGCGCCGCCATTTTTAAATGTCCGCTAGTGTGGACTCCGTACGGCGCGGCTACACGCGGCACAGACTAGGGAGTTCGGACTAGGCTTCCTAATCTGAGCTACTGTTACTTCTCATTCCACTAGGAGGGTAGTGTAGACATACCCCAAGGGCTGTGCACCTCCTTCCCATACTGCGTTGCCTAGTGTAGTAGTCTGGGAGCTGCCCTTGTCCATGAACACAGTCAAAGAAAGCATTGAGTACTTCAGCTTTCCCCACATCATCTGTCACTAGGTTACTCCCCTCAGCCAGTAAGTGCCCCACCCCCTCTCTGATCATCCTTATTGCTAACATGCCTGCAGAGACCGTTCTTGTTCCCCTTCACATCCCTTGCTAGCTGCAGTTCCAACTGTGCTTTCGCCTGCCTGATCACTCCCCTGCATTCCCGAGCAATATATTTATATTCCTCCCTAGTCATCAGTCCAAGTTTCCACTTCTTGTCAGCTCCCTTTCTGTGTTTAAGCTCCCCGTGGTTGCCCCTGGTAAGCCAGTCTGGTCACCTGCCGTATTTCAAGAAGTAAGAAAAGCAAATACTAGGCGGACGACACAAAGGAGCATGTAGGAGCTCTGCACAGCAGGGAGGGTGAGCCCGTACTCACTGGGGTCTTCAATGCCCGTTTTGTTTAGTCTTCACTAAGAAGGTTAATGGAGACCAGATACTCCACCCGAATGACATGAGCCAGCGGAGGGAAGGGGTGCGAACCCAGAGAGCAGGCTGAAGGATGCTTAGCAGAGCTGGATGTATGCCGGTGGGGAGGGCTGGTGGAATTCGTCCGGGGCACTAACTGAAGCAGTGCTGGAACCACTGGCAGGTGTGGTGGAGATCTACTGGACAGCAGATGAAGAAAGGAGTTGGGCAGCCCTAGTACCTGCCTGAAACGGGGGGCAAAGAAGACCTAGAGAATTAGATCAGTCCTCCTCACTTTGACACCTGGAAAGATACTAGAACAATCTCTTGTAAGCACCTAGGAGTGACGGGGTTAGAAGCAATAGCCAGCATGGATTGGTCCAGAACGAGTCATGCCAAACCAGCCTCGCTTCCTGCCTTGACAGAGTTACCGGCCTCAAGGATTGGGATGAGCTAAGCAACAGGTGATGCTGCGTCTTGGATTTAGTGAGGCTTTAGAGACCGTCCCATCTGGAAACAAGACCAAGGAACCCTGTGGCACCTTAAAGACCCGCAGATTGATCCGGGCACAAGCTTGCGTGGGTGGGAGCCCACTGTTAGGTGCATGGACTGGAAGCGTCAGCTTGGCAGGTGTACACGCGTATGCAGAGATGGGCAAGGCGTTACCACACGGAGCCCTGGTGCGAACAGGGTCAGGTCACTCGGGTAGACGTGCCCCGTTCCCAGCAGTTGATGAGAAGTGTGACTACCGAGAGAGGGGATGCTGCTAGCCGTGGTTGCGTGGCCTGGACTCTGAAGCGCCGTTGCGCAGGCTTTCTGTGCCGTGTGGCGTACCCTAAATGACTTCAGCGAGGAAAACGGGACTGGAGCCCGGGCAGGTGCCTTCAAGCGAAGCGGGAAATTGCATCATTTAAAAGGAAGTGAGAATTAAAATATGTCCGGCTAGATACTTGGATTTAAAACTTTCACCTTTAATCGCTAGTGTTAGAGCAGGAACGGCCACAGACCCCATCGGCAGCGTATTCATGTTCGGCTGGAGGACGGAGCTACTTCTCAGACCACTGGAAAGCTCCTCAAGAAGTCATCCGATCCAGTCCCCTGCCCTCATGCCGGACCAAGCGCCATCTACAGCCGGGTGTCCAGCCAGCTCCGAAGCAGTAGCTGCTAGCCACCCTCAACTGGACTAATAGCCGCTAGTGAGTCGGGCTCCACGGACCTAGGCCACCCTGACAAGGGTTTGTCTAACCTAATCGAGCTCATCTTCATGGCGCAGAATCCACAGCCTCCCTAGGCAATTCATTCCCCTGCTCAACTGTCCTGACAGGCAGCGTTTCCTACTGGCCAACCTAACCCCCCTCGCTGCAGCTTAAGCCCCTTGCTGCTTGTCTTCTCAGAGGCCAAGGAGAGCCAGTTTTCTCCCTCCCCTTTTTACAACCATTCGGGTACTTGAAAACCGCTGTCATGTCCCTTCTCAGTCTGCTCCTTTCCAGACTAAACAAGCCCAGTTCTTCAGCCCTGCCTCAGAGCTCCTGGCTTCTAGACCGTGAATCATTCTTGTTGCTCTTCTCCGGACTCTCTCCAGTTTGTGCCCATCTCTCCTGAAATGTGGCACCCGGGCGCAGGACTTCCATTGAGGGAGCACAGAGCAGAGCGGGAGACTGGCTTCTTGTGTCTCGCTCACCACACTCCTGAGCCAT